ATATTTTGCTTACCTTGTGTGTATATCTTAATCATTTTCAATGTTTTCAAATATTTTCATAAATTTTCAAGGTAAATAGTATTTATTATTATTGTCTTTTACAAAAATCATGAATTATGCATTCATTCAAAATAATATCATTCAGTTTTAGAATTTAAAATAACCTTTCCTTGTCGTAAAAAGGTTGAATTATGTTTTTTGTGTTGCTTGTACCATATGACAAAAAGAAGAAGCATTGAAGCAGTTTTGTTACAATATTATACATATTTTCTAAGAAATAGGCCTAATGATAAAAGATTATCCCACACTATTTTAGATTTTCCTGTCAAGAAATAAATTATTTTAATGAGGCATTATATATCAGGACAGTTTTATCACCAGACATTTTTCACCCTTATACCCCCAACCAATGAAACTTCTGTCATTAATTACTCGCTCTCATGTCGTTCTAATCCCGTAAGACTTTCATTCATCTTTGGAACACAAATAAAGATCTTTATGATGAAATCTGAGAGCTTTCAGTCCCTCCATTGACAGCTACGCAACTACCACTTTGACGCTTCAAAAAGTTCATAAAGAGATCGTAAAACTAATCCATATGAATTGAGCAGTTTTGTCCAAATGTTCTGAAGAGACTACTTTATATGATGAACAGATTTAATTTAGGCTTTTATTGACATATAAATAAACATTCATCAACTCACACATCAGCTGTGGTAAACGGAAGCTCAAACATGTTCACTTGACGTGTGAAAACCAATGAGGTTCATTCTCGCGTGTCAAGCAAGTTCGGTTGAGCTTCTGTTTATGTTCGCTGATCAATGTTTAAATGTGAATAAAAGCCTAAATTTAATCTGCTCCTCGTATAAAGCGATCGAGTCTCCTCAGAAAATTTGGAATAAACCGCTCAATTCATGTGGATTAGTTTTACGATCTCTTTATGAACTTTTTGAAGAGTCAGTGGTAGTTGCGTAGCTGTCAATGGAGGGACAGAAAGCTCTTAGATTTCATTAAAATGTCTTCAATTGTGTTTCGAAGTCTTACAGGTTTGGATGACATGAGGGCGAGTAATTGATGACAATGTTTTCATTTTTTGGATGAACTAACAGTTTAATACCAAGCAGGCCTTCTTGTCTCCTTCTGTCCACTGTTTCCATCCTCCAGTCTCATCCTGGACATGTGCTGCAGTGCCGATCGGGTTTGGGCATGTGATAGACATTAGCACTGGGAGAGAAGTCCAGATCATTATGTTTAAGAGCTTTACAATGCTCATTAACGGCTTTCTACCACACAGTCCTGGCAGGAGCTCCTGGCTCCTGCAGCCTTTGGCCCGGCTCCGTTACAGCCTCCTCTCGGTGTCTGAAGACAGACTTTAACCCTGACAGTCCTCTATCTGACGTGCACAGTCAGCCCCTCTTTAGGGAGTTTATCGTCTTTCACGGCCTAACAGCTAGCTTAAACCAAGGTCAAAGAAGCAATATTTATGCACTCTCGCCATCTACCTCTTTAAGCACTTCATCAGGAACTTTCACCAGGGATCAGATACATTGCAATACTGATGCCAGACTTACCTGCTACATATGTGGCTCAGAAAGGCCACTACTGTTATTTTCATAAGACCACTTAAGACCCAGCAAGATAAACATAGAACCGCTGAGAAGTCTTTAAACAATTTGTCACTGAACAGTTTCCAGGCAAAGTCTTAATGTAATACATCAAATTGAGCGCCAATTCATGGAGCGAGAATTTCAGGGACAGTTGATGGAACTGTCACTTGCCATATTGGGCTAGTACCATATGTTTTTATGTCTTTTTAATATCATTTTTATGCATTTCAAACCTAAACATTTGGTTGTTTGGTTGTGAATTGTGATCGCTTACTAAGCTTGAACAGAGTCCCTTTAAGTTGTCTCATAAATTTTGTTTCCAAATGCTCAAATCATGTAAAAAAAATGGCAATTTTTTGGGCTGGAGCAGCCAGTGCGCATGTGCAGTCCTAGGAGAGCGTCACACTGACCGTTTCTATAGCAAACGGAGCACCTGCAATGATGCATTGACTTTACTAATTGGCGATTGGCTCTTTTATTGAGAAGGTGGGGCTTATTGCACCGTATTAACCTCCAGTGATTTAAAAACCGTCCACTAAAAGTTAAATATAAAGTCTTTGGCTTGTATCTAGCTGGTTTTGTTGAAATCACAAGAATGCCTTGTGTTAGTCTTGGTAGCATTTAAAAGAATGGATTAAAATTATGAAATTGTGAAAAAATTATGAACAAATCCTTGAATTACAAATCCTGAAAAATGATGGCATACATAGTAAACCATTATTTTTCCTTATTTCCAGCTTTCCTTATTTATAACTTATTTCCAGCTTTTATTATTAATTTTCTTTGTAAAGAGAACTTTAAAATTTGATGAAAAACGGTGTGAAATGATGTGTAAAGAAAAGAATCATTTTTTAATAAGTATTAAATATATGTAATTTCTTTATAATTTTGCATGTTTATAAATGAAAATATAAAATTATAAAAAAATGAGAAATAATGTAATTTATATATATATTAGGGCCGGGCAACGATTAATTTTGTATATATAAATACACACACATGCATGTATATATTTAAGAAATATTTGCATGTATATACTGTATATATATTTATACATAATTTATATTATATATTAATAACAAATTTTTCTTAAATATATACATGCATGTGTGTGAATTTTTGTATACAGAATAATTATACACAGTACACACACATATATTATGTAAACACAAACTTTTATTTTGGATGCGATTATTCGCGATTAATCGTTGCCCAGCCCTATGTTTCCTCATATAGCGAGGTCTAGTTGTTCACATAAATTGAATGGTTAGCAAAAATAAATCAAATAAACTAAAATTATTGTTGAGCAATATCTGTATATTGTGGGAAGGACGCCTTGTGTTCATTGTGTCTTGGCATCTGCATTGTCTCAGAATAGTTCCTGTTTAGCTGTGTACATTCTGTCTTACCTCACATGTCAGTTTTTGATGAATAACCTTGATTTAAGTCATCTTAAATATGAGTAGTAATGTACATGTGTCTTTTTTTCATGTGTTTTAGTGGTGCTAAAGTAAACTGCGCCGTCTGTCTGCTGAGTTAATGTGCTTAGTCGCACTCCAGGTTGTCTGTTTGCACAGAGAGATGTCATCACGGTAAAAACTTCACATACAGTAAGTCACTCAACAGCTTGATTGGTGTGTATTAAAATGAATGACTTTTCTCAACTTTACGAGCTGGTGTATAATGCACCTCTGCTCCTTTTTAGCTCCCGCTTTAATTCTCCCACCTAAATCGGTTTTAATTCAGCATGAGGACTTGGGAATTGGGAATGGCTGCATAACTCAGTGGAGACATTTGAGTGCTGGAAAAATGAATTCTTCTTAAGTGCTTTGCTGTGTTGGTCACCAACCTTAAAAGATATCCATAAAACTCAATTCCCAATAGGGTCTAAAATATGATTTATGAAACCTTACTTATTAGTGTGTCTCACTTTAAAATGAATCAGCACAGTTCTCACTTTCTCAGGGCTGCAATGGCTTAATATGTACAACTGTGTGACTGTAGCTGTTTCCATACATTGAGCATTTGTTTGACTGTAATTTTGACCAGCCCAATAATCAAGTGTTTGATAGCTGGTTTTGTTGATGCATACAAATAAAATCCAGTGTTGCTTTTTCTCGCTGTCGTCATCATCGTTTAAAGGCCAGTGACTTTTTCTAAGCAAACCGTGTTAATGGACGCCTTCTTTTGTAGTTGCAAGACAGTGACTAGAGTCTGTATGGTCTTAATACAAGCCTAGTGTTACTTAATGACAGTTTCTGATGATCTATAATTGCAGTGGCACATAGAAATGGAAGTAGAAAATTGCTGTGTCTGTTTCTCGGTTTTGTACAATTCGTTTGGGTAATTGGTCTGATCCCCAACAGCCTGATTGTTTGTGAATTAGACCAAAACACCTGGACCTGGCCTCAGATATATTTCCGAAATCCAATGGGATGCGTATAGAAATGAATCCCTCTAGTCTTTTTGTTGATGTCGAAAGCAAAACAGGGCAAGTCGCAAAACCCTGCGCAAAATTCATCTTGAATCTTGAATCTTGAAAAGGACTGTAAATGTTTCATTTAAAATGCCCGAACTGAAAAAATCGCGAAAGGAGCACCAGTTTGTTTTGGCGTGTGCGGTTTGTTCCATTCTCCTGTGGCTGCAGACTACTGGTCTACTGCCGGTTCTTTTATTGACTGAATCTCTCACTGTGAGGAGGGGGAAAAAACGACTTTGTATTATAACCGTATGGAGAAAAAAATGTTGGCAGCTGTTTTTACACAGCACACTTTTTAAAAAAGAGAGACGGTCCTGACCACAAGTCATAAACCATACTTTATTTAAACTGGCGCTCACCCATTATTTGTTCATAGGGCTTTCTGTCTCACAGAAATAATGTTCCAGCGCTCTCGGTTTTGGGGGGAGGGGCATGAGGAGGACTTGGATAAACTGTTGCCAGGTGTTGTTGCCATGACATTCCATTATGCGATTCCACGCTGCCTTGATCAAGAGGTGTGAACATTCTAAAAATGATTGAGAATGATAATTTATCCTTGGGTCCTTCTTTGTCTGTCTTTAAAGGGATAGCTCACCCAAAAAAATTTAAATTTTGTGTACTCACCCTCATGTTGTTCCAAACCTGTATGAGTTTCTTTCTTCTGTTGAACACGAACGAAGATATTTTGAAGAATGTTGGTAACCAGACAGTTGACGGCACGCATTGACTTCCATAGTATTTTTTCCTACTCTGGACGTCAATGGCTATCGTCAACTGTCTGGTTACCAACATTCTTCCAAATATTTTCTTTTGTGTTCTGCACATCTTGAGGGTAAGTATTGACAAAATGTACTATCCCTTTAAACGTATTCACAAAGTCAGTGTTTTCATTCATACTTGAGGAAAAGACAGAGTTCATATATCATATTGTTTAATTTAGCAGTGAAAATACAAAACATTGAGCAGTGAGATGCTGTTGTCCACGCCGTTGAACTCCACCCCTCTTTGCTTCTCGTGCCGAGATGACAAGTCCATCACGTAATGCTCTGAAAGCTCTCCAACGCCAAGCTCTGCCCTGAACGACCCTCTCCTGACAGCTTCCTCATTACCTTTTAATGTATTCATGCATATTCCTCCTCGCTGGTAAGGCCGTCATGTAATGCGAGAAAATGGCGAGCCGCTCCGTGCCTTGGATCATGCAATCCGCCCTTTATTTCGATTAACAAAACAACTTCTGATGCATGTAGACGGCAGGAACTCCTGGGTAGTCGGCGCTGAATTTCCTGCAATATGACAGAGAGAATATTGGCGCGTCAGTGGGACACCTCAGTGACTCTGGAAGATGCTATCATTATGTGTTGGCAATCGCGAGAGCTGAATTTTGTGGAAAATGAGGGAGGCCATGCCTCAGCCTCACTAGCGTGTTGTGAGTGGCCTGAAATGCATCCGCTATGAGAGTCATATTCTGTTTACCACAGCGGGGGGGGGCAAACAGGCACGACGGTGAAATGAACAAAATACATTCATTATAAGTTCGCCGCTCTTCCTTCTGGAAATATAGCTGATTTCAATATAAATAGAACAGGGAGGATGTCTTTACATCTACTTTGATTGTCACTTTTCAAGCCGTAAAATACCCAGAGGCCTTTCCGTGGCCTCGCTTATATGTCAATGCTAATTTCCCCCCGTTGCCAGGAGTAACACATTGGGGAGCCTTGATTTTCTTCCTCTGGTCATCGAGCTTGCGTCTTTCTTCTCAGACAGCTTGCTCAGTGCTTGAAATATCTCTCAATGTTGGCCAATCAAAAATAGGAGAACATCTCAAATCAGGTTCTCTGCAGGCTTAGAATCAACAATGACGTACAGTATTCATTTTCTCTGATAAAAAGTATCCCGCTGTGTCTTTCTTGAGAGGTAATTTCCCCGTATTGTGTGCGTGAGCCCATTGTGACTACGGCAGAGATGCTTGTGCAAATTCACGGCGCAAGCAAATCAGTCTCGGGAGTTTTGATCGAAGTGACAACGGTCCGTTTAAGAACTCAGGAGGGCGTAATCTGAAAAAGGCTAATTCAATACAACTTGCCAGACAGCCACTTTCAAGTATCAGAAATTTCGAGCTGTCAGCCGTCGCGGTTGAGAAGCACAGATGCATACAGCTGTTTGGTAGTCTGTAAATGACCCCTCTCAGCCTCTATGCCCCACTCTCTGACTGACACATTGTGCTGGATAACTGCCGGTGCTGCATTGCAAGCGGGCTGTCCAGCATGTGGTTACCTCCTCAGCTGCACTCACCTATTCAAGGGTTACTGCAGGTCAGGATTTCAATGCCTCAGTTTCACACCTTCTCGTGTGTCCTTTCGCTCGCAATCTCTGTTTCATAGGGATAGGGGTCCAAAAGCATTGCTTTTAGAGAATCTGCACTCGCGTGAGCACCGGCTACGGTGGTTTTTACTTTTCTGACGATTTACTACGAGTACTGCAAATATCATTGTTTTGGATGGGAAAGTTGGGGATTTGTGAGTGCAGCTGCACAATGCAAATGGGTGTAATTATATGTTTTAAATGATAGAGATAGCAGAGCTGATGAGAAAAACAGTGGGGGTCCAAATGACTGAGAACACCAGGGGAAATTTCTTCTTTAATACAACATTTGTAATTGCATATTATATTGTCGGCATAAAGGAAATTTGACCTTTTGGGTTACACTTTATTTTAAGGTGTCCTTGCTACAGTGTAATTAATGAGTAATGTTAATTAACTACATGTACTTACTATAGGGTTAGGATTAGGGTTTGGTTTAATGTTAGTTGGATGTAATTATGCTAAATAATAGTTATTCCTATTTTAACTGTAACGTGTAACAAGGATAGTATAAAATAAAGTGTAACCACCTTTTCTATAACGGAGTGATTATTGAACTAGAAATCTCAAATATTTCCCCAATTTTTACTTTTTTAAAACCAAAAATTTGATAATGTATATAATGGTGTGATTAGTGAACTAGAAATCTTAAATATTTGTCCATTTTTACCTCATAACTTTAAAAAAATTGCCTTTTGGCATGATTAGTGAACTGTCTTAGAAAACTAGAAATCTTAAAATGGTAAAAATCAAGCTTTTGATGTTGTTTATATGTCTATGTGGTGTTTTAAATATGCTTCAAGATAATCCATGTGCAAATTCATAAGTCAACACCATTGCTGAGTATTTTTCCTTTAAAACTGCGGTGAACCAAAGACAGTCTCAAAAACACGCTTTAAAATCGCTGGTGTTTCTGACGTCACAAACTACCTTGTAACCAATCAGGTCAACGTGCGATGGTCACAGTGGATCTCTGAGCTGCTGTGAGTGGAGGCGGGGCTCATTTGCATATAAATAGAACCGTGTATACTAGATGAGGCAAGGGAGTTACATTCAAGCTATTTTTAGGCATGAAGGTTTTTTTTCAAGGAAAAAACATTTAAATATGTAATTTTGGTGATCAAATATGAGTTTTAAGGGATACAATTATTGACTACGGGGGACTATATTATATATACTAATATTCATCCATTTTACCTCATAATGTTTGTTTTTTTTAAATCCTCAACTGCTTATTTTCAGATTAAAAAGTCAAAACATATATATTATTTTTTTATTTGTTTTCAGGCTTAAGGAACCCACTTTGTAGTTTGTATATGATGTTTGTAGGAAGTTTTTATTGCAAAAAAAACTTTTTTTGAATATGATTTTCAGCAACTGCATCAAGTAGTATCTCTCAGCTTTCATTGACCCTTTTATTGTTCATGACATAAATGTGATCAAATTATCCGAAAGTGTTATAAAAGCACTAACGTCAGGATTGTGTGCCATTTTTTTGTGTGCATATTTTACATTGTTTTTAACGTCCAGCTTATTGAATGCAAGAACGTAAATAAGGTGACTGAGCAGAGAGGGCAACGCGAGCGAGGAAAGACCAAAATGACAGGGAGTTTAGCGCTGAATCCTTTTAGTAGACCACTGACACATGAATGAGGGGAGAGTGAGAGAAAGAGAGAAAAAAGTAGACAGCCAATTTGGGAGTAATGCAACTAAAAACAGACAAGTGTAATTTCATCCATCTGGACAGATGTGTAAAAGCGCTCCTCAGAACATTCCCCATGATTCCCCCTGATTGATCTTCCCCCGGACTGAAACACCTATTATTAGCCACGAGCCTAATAGCACCAGGATGGCTTGCTGCTCTCCCAGAGGCCAATTCTCTGGTCATATCTCACTCACTGCAGCTGTAGAAACAGAGGAGAGGAGAGGAGAGGAGAGGAGAGGAGAGGAGAGGAGAGGAGAGGAGAGGAGAGGAGAGGAGAGGAGAGGAGAGGAGAGGTCCTTCATATTCAGTCAATAGAATTCTAAAGCGGACGTGTCAAACAAAACAATAACATTGTTTCATCCAGGTTTCCATTGTTATTTAGGAAGAGCGTTTGCACACCCACCTGATTACGATGCTACTGAAACACAACGAAAAAGAGTGGCTTGTGTACAATGCAATCATTGTTATCAAATCCTCAGTTATTTTAAATATATCATAGTTTAAAGCTTTACTCTGGCCAGCTGTGACACATCAAACGATGCTGGTTTCGCTTGAATAGTCGAGGGTTTTGGACTCCACAAACGCTCGCCTTCTTCCTACGCTGGTCTGCTGGCTTTTGGAAAAGAAGGAAAGCGGTTGAGGCGAGCATGAGAGCTTAAGATTGACAGCTCACCACCCCTGCCATGCCGTTCAAACCGCCACATGTCCAAGTCTGGTGTGATCAGATCCATTTTGATCCGGATCCAAACACGAACAACGTTCCCACTGTCCTTCATCTTTGCTGCTCTATATGGAGATGATTTCCAGCACTATAAAAACATACCCGCATCTCTGTTATTTCTATGCCAGCTCTCATGTATAGTGTGCGGAAAGCTTCTTTACATTTGCCTCTCATATGTTTGGTACGATCATCCTGTAGATTTATTTGACTGTATTTTCAGCATTCTTTTGAACACCCTCTCCTTACATTGATTGAATGAGCTCTATGGTTTAATGCATTTCCAAGAGCAGTTATCAGTATCACTGTGATTGCCGGCGTGTGTTTTGATAAAATGGGAAAAGCCTAAAACCCTTCAACTGAAATGGTTGTTAAAGTTTATGAAAATAAATGCTGAAGGGGATTTGTTTTGCACCGCATTACCAAGCTTGAGCTTAACCACATTTGTTCAAATGATCTTATGAATAAATTCAGATTGAATTTACACACTATTTGTTTGTTTTGTTTGATTCTGGCTGTTTTTTTTTTTTACACTTGTTTGGTTAATGTTACCGCACAAAAGGCCAAGATAGTTTACTGGCATGCTTATGAGAAAATCTTAAAGGCCTTCTCATTTGTTAGATAAGATTTGTTTGTTTTTTCTAAAAAAACAAACTTTTTTTCAATCTACACAAACATAATTTATCACCTTTAGTGCCTTCAAAGCATTTAATCTGAAATAAATGGAAGAGATGTTGTGTCTTCCATTAACCTTACACCCATTAATTCATCATTACTATGCAAAAACATAGACAAATCCCGAGACTAATGTTTTTATACGAATATGCTTAATAGAATGTCTGATAGAATACATAAATCCTCAGACTTGCTATTTCATACTTGGAGTTTAATTCTCTGCAAATATTTCAGTAATTTCCCACCTTTACAAATATGGCTAAATTAAACAGCTTGTGTTTTTAAGCATTAATTTTTGGCGACCAGCCATTCATGGCTTCACAGCTTCATTGGTGTAACTCTGCAGTCTTTATATCTCCCGCAGAACCTTTTGTGAGTGAATTTCAAATGTTCTTCATCAGCTAGAATGTGGAAGTTTGTAGTTTCAGGCAGTCTTTGTAATTTGGCTCTATTTAGCCCTGAACAGGAGCTTGAGAAAGCCACGCAGCTCCTGCAGACTGGTTTTCATGTGAGAATGAATGTGGCACAAGGCGGTTCTCCAGGTGTGACTTTTTTTTCTCGGCTGTTTTTACGCCTCATCAAACTCACTGTTCTTGAGTTTCAGGCAAACGATTATTGTCCGTGCTTCATTGTTTGTGCCACTTCCTCACCTGACCTCAGGAAATTCAGATCAGGGAAACTACTTAAATCACACGCAACATCATCCCACCAAATACCAGCATAAAACTCGATGAGCTACAGCATTATTTTAATAAATATCGACTTGTAATTAGAATATTATTTTTTGCTATTGTTGTCACTGCAATTCTCAGCTGTATTTCCAA